AGGAGGTTACACATACAGTATATAGAGCAGCAACTGGTCTATTTTTATATTAACAGTGTAGTTTACGGTCAGCACATTTTCTGCATAAACTTACCTGTCTATAGGTCTGGGTGAGGACAAGAAAAGGACATCACCTTTTTTAAATAGGTAGACTAGTAAGGGACAATTTTTATGTGCATCCATCTGCATTGGAGGATCAGTAGGGAAGAATATGTGTGGAAGATGGGTGGCAATACCCCTAGTGTCTCTACAGGTCTAATCAGGTAATAGACACATCTTGGGGAGTCTCCCATCCTGTATACTTCACAGACTAATGTGGATTGATTTTTGTGGAAGAGTGCTCAGCATTGATCATAGCTGGGGGAAATAAGTAGGGAAATTACAAATGATCATTGCTGACCACCACATCGCCAGCCATGTTGTAACAGCATCACACATTTCAAATCTGATCTCCATTTTGTGTTAGAAAAGGGTTGCTCTTGTAGATCATGGTGAAAAAAAAAGTCTGGAAAGGAAGAAGGCAGGTTATAGGATGGGACCTATTACAAACAGGCATCTAACACTAAAGGAATGATGACTAGCATCGAGTACAGTAGGTTGGCATAGTGTTGTTTAGTGTAGATCCTGCCCTAAAAGAGTCTACCTTGTCGTGGTCGGCAGATTTGTAACCTTTTGGTTAAAAACGTCAGAACTGATACTATAGCCCAAGCCTGGAAGTCCTCTTCACTGGCTTTCCAGGGTGTGAAAACCCGGATGACTGCTATGATGATTAATGAACAAATGTCCAGCATCTTCAAAGATTCACATCTGAAATTCCTTAAAGTTTGGGGACCCTGGAAAAACTATTCTTTTCCATCTTTACCTCCCAACAGTTATGGCCTCTTATAGCCGCTGGCCACGAATCCGTGCTATATTTTCCTCCCTGAATCTTCCTCCTTCTCCTATCCCTCTTTGTTTCCCTATATTTCCCTTACCTCTTATTTCATTCTGTGTCTTTTTCTTTCTCCTTTTTCCAGGTTGATATTTTTCAGTAGGGATTACTGCCTTATTGAGTGATGTTGATATCATTGGTCTCGATTTTCCTGCTAATCCTCCTTAGTTATGGTTAGCTCTGCACTGACTTATTAGTGCACACTACTTACTTGTATCAGTTTTTTATGTGAGTGTCTAGCTCTGCCCCTGCGTGGGCATATCATGAGCAAGTCTGTTATGTTGTTCTGAAAAAATCTTAATAAATATATTGAAACAGAAAAATGTCAGAACTGGAGAAAGCATTTTCTCTAGACAGCTTAATTTTTAGCCATTTGATTCAACTAAAAGGCTCTTAGATTTCATAGGGACAGAAAAAATATTTACATATATTTTTCATTTACTCACTGTAGCTTCCAATGCAGACTGTGAGAAGCTCACAGTATGCTTCAAAATGAAAGTAAGCCATTTCATTTTGAGGGCTCATTCACACAGGTGTCATGGTCTGGAACAGCATGAATAAGCATCTTATTTATGCAGCTGGAGCCACGACTAGCAGCTGTATGGAGGGAGCCCATGTATGGGGATGCAGCAGCTGTATGTTGTATTTATATTATTATTATTAGTGATGGGCTACATGTTTGAGTTGAACCTAACATGGGCTGTTGGTGTGTTCACTGAACACATGAACGGTACGGGCATTTGGCGGGCTAGTGCAACAAGCACCATCTGTCCCTGTACAAGTATACCACAACATCTGTACCAGTGTCTCCTCAACATCTGTCATAGTGTACCAGTGCACATCAACATCTGCAATAGTGTCTCATATCAACATCTCTCAGTGTGCCATTGTGACATCAACATCTCTCTGTGTCCCCAGTGAACCATCAACATCTATCACAGTGTACCAATGCACAAAAACATCTGTCAGTGTACAAGAGTCACATATACATCTGTTACAGTGTACCTGAGCCCATCAACATCTGTGACAGTGTACCAGTGCACAGAAACATCTGTCACAGTGTACCAATGTCCCATTAACATCTCTCACAGTGTACCAGTGCACTAAAACATCTCTCACAGAGTATCAAAGCATATCAACATCTGCAATACTGTTCCACTCCAACACTAACATCTGTCAGTGTCCCATTGCAACATCAACATCTGTTGGTGTCCCTAGTGGACTGTCAACATCTGTCAGTGTCCCCAGTGGACCATCAACATCTGTCACAGTGTAGCAGTGCACAAAAACACCTGTTAGTGTACTAGTGTCCCATCAACATCTGCAATAGTGTCCCATTGCAACATCAAAACCTGTCAGTGTCCCTACTGGACCTTTGACAGCTGTTGGTGTCTCTAGTGGACCATCAACATCTGTCAGTGTCCCAGTGGACCATGAACGTCTGTCGGTGACCCTAGTAGACCATCAACATCTGTCAGTGTCCGAAGTGGGACTCCAAAAATGTAATAAGAAGCCAGGAAATTGGATTTGTAATTTATGCTCTTATAATGCTTGAAGGTGCTCCTTGGATTTTTGGGCCTCTCTATGTGGCTAGGCTTTGAAAAAGTCTCACACATATAGTATCGCCATGCTCAGGAGGAGTAGCAGAATATATTTTGGGGTGTATTTCTTAGTATGTCAATGCTGTGTTTTAGAAATATCCTAAAAGTTGACAACTTTGTGTAAAAAAATTATTTTTAAATTTCTTTGCACATTTTCCAAAAACTTGACATGTTCAATAGACTCATTATGCCTCACAGAAAATACATTGGTGTGTTTGCTTTCCAAAATGTGGTAATTTTTGGTGTTTTAATTGTCCTTGTGCTCCAGGGTCTTCAAAAGTGTGATAGGTAGTCAGGAAATTAGATACGTAATTTATGCTCCTTGGAAGCCCAAAGGTGCTTGTTGGGTTTTGGGCCCCTCTATATGGCTAGGCTGTGAAAAGCATAGAGAGAGAGAGAGAGATGAGAGGGAGGGGGATTAGAGAGAGGGAAAGGAGTGAGTGAGGGTGAGAGCGAGGGAGGGGACCAAGAGGGGGAGTAAGAGAAAGGGGGGCTTCCCTATCCCCCTAATACTACACCAGGAGACCCCCCCCCCATCCCGCCATAGTTACACTGGGTGAACACCCCTCCACCTCAAATTTTATACCATTGTCTGTAAATTCCTATTAGTAGGGTTCCGGGTTCCCTGATCATCAGCCATGGTAAAGGAGTAAGTGTCAGTCAGTGTACCAATAATCATAGACCCCTCTCACCTTCTCACTGCCCACCGGCTCCATCACCTGCAGCGTGTAGCAAGGCACTACCACTGCCTGGGACACCGACTCGCTTTGCAACTGCTGTTCGGCTGACAATTTTCCATCCGGTTTTTTCAACCGAAGAATAACGGGCAAGATAGTGGAGTCAGGGCCACCTACAGATGGAATCAGGAGCCGGAATATTTATAGTGTGTGGCCAGATTTAGACTCTGCACACACACTAATCATCTCCAAGGAACAGAAGTGCACCAACACCCCTCTGTTATACCAACATAGAGTACCAGAGAAAAAAGCAGAAAGCAGTGTTTTTACTGAGGTTTTTTTTTTTAGAAGCAAAAATCCATCACAGATTATAACATGGGCACAAGACTATAAGACCACATGTACACTGTATTTTATTGATGGGTTTTCTCCTACAGGACGTTAGCAGTAGCAAAACAAAAAAAAAAAGACGTTTTTTGGCATGCACATTTGTGTGCATTCATCTGCTTTCACGCATCTGGCATTAATGCACCCTATTGGTCAGAATGTGAATTTAATTTGGCCATTAGAATTAGAATGCTCCTAGCATTAATGTACATCATTCGTTTAGGTGCTTTTGATTGTTTATATGCTCAAAAGCTCCTTTCCTGGAAAAGCTCCTCTCTCCAACTTTGGTGGGGATTTTTTCTGCCTCTAAATGCCCCTGCTCCTTAACTCCTCTAAATGCTTATGTGTGCATTCACACATGGAGGGGAGTTTAGAGGCAGAAAAAGAAAAAGCTCAAATGCCTGCAAAAGTAGCGTTTTTGACCTCCAGTGTGCATGAGGGTTTAGCGGTGCAGGAGCGCTCTGGAGCAGTGCTGCTCTTTAAGTGTTGCTGTAAAGACCAAGACCAAGCTTGAATCTTACTACTGTAAAAAGCCTGACATTACACCTAGGAGGGAGAATGTCACCAGTACACCCAGGATCACCAATATGGCTCCAAAATGTTTAATGAACGATCACATAGTTACAGCAAGGCAACGTTTCGGAGTCTCACAGGACCCCTTCATCAGGCATGTGACCACCAAAATGTTGCCTTTCTGTAACTATGTGATCGTCCATTAAAACTTTGGACCCATATTGGTGATCCTCGGGGACCATTCGAGCACTCAGTCACTGCCCAGGGGCCCCATGAAATGCCCCTGGTACCTTTTATAGGCTTTTTGGGGTGTGCTTTGAGTGTAGGCAAGGTCACAGGGGCCCCATGATCCCCTAATGCCCGGGGGCCCCATGAGTTGTCAGTCCGCCCCTGCACACAGCCATTTTTAATGCAGGAACATGTGCGTTTGGATTGTACACTTGCATTACACCTAGGTCCTAGGAGGACACATCATGTTCTGGCAACCAACGGAACTCTTCAATAAAGGAATTGATGAAAACTGGAGCAGACAGAATCTGGAACACCTGTGCAACCAATGAGCTTGGTCACATAAGTTTTGACAAAGAAAGATAGAAGCTGATTGGTTGCCATGCACAACAGCTGCTCCAGATTCAGCCTTTATTTCTAGGTGTCTCTTCCCCCGCCCCCTCACACCTCCGTCTCGTGTTATAGCTGTCATTGTACTGTATGATGACTTTAAGAGCGCGCAGACCCGCCCACCTGTCACCCAGGACACGCCTATTACCTCCCATCCCCGAGATCTGCCAGGCTGCAGGATCACATGACCACACGGCCGGGGATGGTAGCTGATTGGCTGCTCTACCAGGAAGTGATGCGTGCAGTCATATGATGTGAGGAGCAGTGTGGAGGATGGAGGGACTGGGGCTGCTGTCCAAGCTGCCTGTAGAGCAATGTCCGCAGGTGGGTGAGCGCGGCAGTGTGTTTTTTCAGAGGCTCGGTCAGAGCAGACAGGGGGAGGGGTTGGCTTGTCTCACTGGTCTGTATAGGAGTGCCGCTACTGACAGAGGGGACCCCTACAGGATCCCTGAGCGAATGGCATTTTGCTGGATAAAGAGACCATTTCTATGCAAAATGCTTGTTTTCTCCTACTGCACTCTTTGTTGCATCTCATGTCTGCTGATGTGCTGCAGCCACTTCCTGCTTACATATTCCTGAGGGCAGTGTGCCATTTCCCAGGGTGGGTTCCCAGATGGTGACAACAAGGGGCCATGTATGTTTAATGTTGTCACCATCACTTGTAGTCTCCAGTGGAAACCCATATGCATTACAACAAATCAGATACAGCCCGCCTCATTTCCAGGCTGGAGGACTCCCTGCATCATCTATCATCTAGCTCTTTCCTCCCAGCCTTTGGGCTTATTCACACCATGTCTGCTGAGTGGCTTTGATCTGCTTGGAGCTACACAGGCTCAGCACAAGGACACTAAAATAGAAAATAACCGCGCCCTGTTCACACCAGTGCAGCTTTGAAATCACACTGCTTCCTGCACTGTCCAAGGTGACGATTCAGTGCGACTTCATTGTGACTTGCTGACACTGCAACAATCATTTCATGTATACATATGTCAGTGTAAGTTGCACTAAAATAGTGCAGGAACCTTTCTCAAAATCGCTGCGACATGACTTGCACATATTTGAATGGTTCCATTGTTGCTAATGGGGTGGGACTTTGAACTCTCAAGTCATGTGACAAGTCGCACTGGTGTGAACCAGGGCTTAGCCATGATTCACATCGAATGCAGCTTTCAAGTTGCGCTACTTCATGTGAAATAGCGTGATTTCAAAGCCACCGGTCAGTGTGATTTCATGTGTGGCTTTCCGGCATCTGTGTGACTTTATGCACAGGTGACAATGCAAGTCAGACATGAAATCACCAAAAATAGTGCAGGAACCTCTTTCAAAGTCGCTGCGACTTGACTTGCAAATATTTTGAATGGTTCCATTGTCACTAATGGGGTGGGACTTTGAACTCTCAAGCCACGTGACAAGTCGCACTGGTGTGAACCAGGGCTTATCCATGGTTCACACCAAATGCAGCTTTGAAATTGCGCTACTTCACATGAAGTAGCATGATTTCAAAGCCACCGGTCAGTGTGATTTCATGTGTGCACTGCCAATATCTGTGTGACTTTATGCACAGGTGACAATGCAAGTCACACATGAAATCACCAAAAATAGTGCAGGAACCTTTTTCAATGTCGGTGCACATCGGAGTCATACTGATGTGAACGTATCCATAGGCACAAATAGGGTGTGACCTCTCATGTGATTTTGAACTGTCAAAACACACGACAAATCGCATTGGTGTAAATGGGGGCTAAACCCTGGTTCACACCAGTGCAGCTTTGAATTGGTGCTAATTCATGCAACTCCAAAGCTGATTATTCAGTGCGACTTGCTTGCGGCTTGCTGACACTCTGTGTGACTTCTATTAACAGATGTCACTGCAAGTTGCAGTGAAGTCATGCAAAAGTAGCCCAGGAACCTTTTCTGAAGCCTTTGAGACTTGAATCACACCAATTTGAATGGTTCCATTGCCACTAATGGGGTACATCTTGTCACGCGATTCGAAAGTTTAAAGTCGCATAACAAGTTGCATTGAAGTAGCGCGATTTCAAAGCTCCCGGTCAGTGCAATTTCATGTGCGGCTTGCCAACATCTGCGCAACTTCATGCACAGATGTCAATGCAAGTCATACATGAAATCGGCAAAAATAGTGCAGAAACCTTTTCAAAATCGGTGCAAGTTGGCGACCCGCTGATTTGAACGGTTCCATAAGCACAAATAGAGTGTGACGTGCTATGCAATATTGAACTGTCAATTCTTGTTGGTGTGAATGGGGGCTAAATTCAAATGGGTTGCAATTAAATGCAGATGTGCTGTACTTTTACACATCATAACGCATGTCACTGCACCTAGCACATCGCAATACTCTGCAAGGCATAGAGCTGTAAAGAATCCCTGACTGTCACTGGCCGGCCCCCTTCATTCATTGGTTCTGTCTACTTTCAATCAGAGACTCAGCATCACATGTGGGTGTATCCTACAGCAGTCTACATGCAAATACACTTTGCTTAGGAACGCCCACTGCAGACTAACTTCCACCCATCAAAGCATTCTAATACTTGCTTTACTCCTCTAGAGCCAATCTACTGCTTGCATCAGGGTTGAGGGATCTGAGGAGTACTAAGGCAGGGTGCTGGGATTATCTCAGGAAGTTATGTACACCACTCTACTAGCCCCTCCCACCAGTCATGATCCACCTGCATTTTATAGAGATGCACAGAGACCTATTAAACATGTCAGTGGATCTCAAATAAGGGATTTAATGGAAAAGTCTTATTTTAAAAATGTCATTAGCATGTTGGAGAGAGGAACCAGGGAAGACAAATTATGAAAATCAAACCTGTAGATTTAAAAACAGAATATTTGTCTTTGCATCCATCTAAGCTGTTACTAGGTCGCATCTAGAGAGTGCAGGATGGAGACGATGGATCTTCTCTGCATTGAGCCGCATGTGCGATCTGAATCTCAGGAGAAAATTTCTGAAAGCACAGGGGTGTGGATGTGAAGCCAGGAGGATGGATATTACTAGAAATGGGACATCTCTTTATTAGAAGTCATACCTCACATTGGTATTTTTTTCAGTGTTGGCTGGAGAAGTACAAATATATCAAGCAAAAGTGCAGTTATATGTTAAAGCCAAACTCCAGGGAAAGTCTAAATCCTTCCTTGCAGTGGCACTGCCCTCCACACTGCAGGGGTTAAATTCTCTTTTTTGTCTAGCAGGTTGGAAAAGCTTTTTTTTTCCCCTACAATCTGGTGGTGGACTGTCACTCTGTGTCCTCACATCCCATTCAGGTCCCTAGGCCCTGCATCGGTCTTTGATGACATCAGAGGGCATCCTGCTACCAGATCACAGGGAAGAAGAAGCTGTGGGGACCAGTCTCGCAGAGCAGAGGAACCTGCAGGAGCAGAGGATTGGGTAAGTAAAACTGCTTTTCCTGGTCCCCTAGATATAAAGGAGCATTTAACTTCTGCAATGTGGGGGTAGCTCCACTACAAGGGAGGATTTTTGCCTTCCCTGGAGTTCAGCTTTAACTTCTTTGATGGTCAAAACAGCTGCAATGATGACATAATTCATTTATTTTTCTTTTTGACATTTCCAGTTCCTTCACAAAGTTATTGATGGAATTTGTGGCCGGGCGTATCCTCGATTTCAGGATCATGGCAATGTCTGGAACCTGAGAGAATGGCTGCAGGTTTTAGAAAATACAGAAACATTTATTAAATCCGTTGTTGGTAAAGATGAACCTCAAAAGAAGGTAAATGTAAATTATCTTTTCCCCCATTTGTACCTATGGAAAATCCACTAGGGTGCCAGGCACACAGAAGTGCTGACATACTCCGTTGTGTAGTTTGTGGGTACATAGACCTTATATAAGGAAACAAAATTGCATTGTATTAGCCTAATCTATTTTTCCCACTCGTTAAATTAGTATTTCTCACATGGCAACAACATATAACTCTTAGGGCTCATTCACACTGTCTACTTGCTAGTAGTGGAAGTGCAGGTGGAAATGTACAGTATAATTCTGCACTTCTCTTCTGGTGTTGATCTGTGACCTCAGCAATTTACATATCCCAGCAAGCTTTGAGATTCCGTATACGTATTTGGGGCAATACTCATGTTGTGGGTAGAGCTGTCTGGCAGCACAATAAGCAGGGTGGTGCTGGCCAGAGAGAGGCATGAAAAGCTGCTCCAATTTACTTAAAGTGGAACTTTATTCAGAAAATTAAGTGCTGCTAGATCACTTCAAGCTGGCCCCTTTTGCAGGTATATCTATAAAAAGCATTTAAAAATAAGTGTCTCTGCTGTGTAAAATCCAGTAATACACCGGCTCACCCTGCTTTGAACTTGCTCATTTTCTCTTCATTTTTAGGCAGTGCAGAATTTGTAGAGGTCGATCTGCTGACAACCTTAAAGCGGAGTTAAACCATCCTATCCTATACAGCCAAGGAAGCTGCTTCTGTTTGATCTGCAACTGCCATGATACTGCATGTGTGATCAGTTATGACTCCAGACATTTGATGGTTTGACCGTTTGATTGAGGACACAAGAAATGTGATGGTCAGCGATGCTGGCGTTTCAGGAATGTAACTGTTTTTTTGAAACTATTAAATTGATGGGCTTAGTTCAGCTTTATGATTTACAGCTGTTCAGGAGCTCTGGGCTTCAACAAAATGGCATCCCCTGGCAAGAAGAAACCGGTACAATGCTGGAGGCAACTTATAGCACACGCTAATCTTGGTAGCATAATTAAGGTGGAATGTATGTTCCTTGCTAAAGCACATTATTTTGTATCATGTTCTTATGGGTAAAGTTCCACTTTAAGCAAGCCTAAAGTAAGGATTGCATGAATGTCATACCTTCAGCGTGATCCCAGGGGAAGCTTACAGGGGCATTGAGGGGATGGGCCACCATGTAATACATACAATAACTAGGTACCCAGTACCATGTACGGGGACTACACTAGGGAAAGGCTGGGAAGCTGGACTTTGACAGAAGATCTCACAGAAATGTGGCATGTTTTAGCAGGATCAGTAGACACTGGATATAAATGTAAGAACCAAATTTTAACAAATATTTTTTGTAGCTCTGTGCAAATGTACAGTTGTTCATTGATCTACTCATGTCCGCTTCAGAAAATCCCGTATTGGCCTTAAAGGATAAGTTCAGCTTTTTAGAAAAAAAAAAAATAAATGCACATTTTTTTGCAGGTAAAATAATGTGAATTTAAATATTTTTGTCTGTGGGAGCTTGTAAACCAGAGATGTACGAGCAAGCAGATATACTGACAGGAAGAATGAATGAACAGTGGGGCTGTCGGGACTTGTAGTCTCTCATTTGCAGATGACTGTGAATGAGTGACACAGCTAGCGAGGGGGGAAGAAGATCCCCTGCTAGCTGTCAAAGGGAAGGGGGGGGGCGTGGGACACGGGACCTGGAGCAGGGGCCGGTCTGATTGTTACATGTTACAGGCCATCTTGGATGCCAAAGGCAATCCAATATCATATTTGGTAACAATTTCCTCCTTTTTACCTGGTGTCTCCATAATTTTGTCCAACGAAGGTGTGTTTTATTATATATATATATATATATATATATATATATATATATATATATATATATATGGTAAACTAAATATTGAACCATTTTTCTCAGTAAATGTCTTTCGAATTGACATGACATTTTCACCACATGTCTGTAACAACCCATGCAATCCATACATAAAAAAACAAATAAGTTCAGAAATTTAGGTTATGTGTAATAAAATGGAATGATACAGGGAAAAAGTATTCAACACATGAGGAAAGGGAGGTGCAAAAAGCATGGAAAGCCAAAACACCAGCTGAAATCTATCAGTGATTGGAAAGCAATCCTGCCCCTTGTCAGTGCAAATTAATATCAGCTGGTTCAGTCTCATTACCAACGTGTAACACAAACATCTCATGATGGGTAAAAGCAGCTCCCTTAAGACCTTCGCAACCTTATTGTTGCAAAACATACTGATGGCATTGGTTACAGAAGGATTTCTAAACTTCTGAATGTTCTGGTGAGCACTGTAGGGGCCATAATCCTTGAAGTGGAAAGAACATCATTTCACCATAAACTGGCCATGAACAGGCCTCCTCGCAAGATTTCTGAAAGGAATGGAAAGAATTATCAGAAAAATTTGTCCTACAGCCAAGGAGCACAGTTGCTTCAAAGAAAACCATAAGTAATCCACTCAGCAAGACTTCATTGTTGAAGAAAAAGCATGTTGAAGCTTGTTTAAAGTTTGCTGCACAACATTTAGACAAGCCTGTGAAATACTGGGAGAATATAGTCTGGTCAGATGAGACCAAAATTGAACTCTTTGGATTCCATAATACACACCATGTTTGGAGGTCACATGGTACTGCACATCACCCCAAAAACACCATACCAAGAGTGAAGTTTGGAGGTGGGAACATCATGGTGTGGGGCTGTTTTTCAGCATACGGTACTGGCAAACTTTATATCGTTGAAAGAAGGGTGAATAGAAAAATGTACCAAGACATTCTTGATAAAATCTGCTGCCATCTACCAGGATGATGAAGATGAAACGAGGGTGGACATTTCAGCAAGACAGTGATCCCAAACACAAATCCAAGGAAACTCTCAATTGGTTTCAAAGAACAAAAATAAAGCTGCTAGAATGGCCCAGCCAATCAACTGACTTAAATCCAATAGAAAATCTAAGGAAAGAACTAAAGATCAGAGTTCATAGAAGAGGCCCACGGAACCCTCAAGAATTGAAGAATGTTTGTGTGGAAGAGTGTGGGCCAAAATCACACCTGAGCAATGCATGCAACTAGTTTCTCCATACAGGAGGCGTCTTGAAGCTGTCATTACCAACAAAGGATTTTGAACGAAGTAATATATTTCAGTTAGCGTGTTCAATATTTTTTCCCTGTGTCATTCCATCTTATTACACATAACTTAATTTCTGAACTTATGGTTTTTTTTTTTTTTTTGTATGTATGTATGGATTGCGTGGGTTGTTACCGACATGAAAATTTCAAGTCAATAGCACCTTTAGAAATATATTTACTGAGAAAAATGGTGATGTGTTCAATACTTATTTTACCCGCTGTATATATAAAAGAAACTGAGCCTGGCTGTGTCAGGACCTGGAAATCAAGATATAGGAAGTCGGTAGGTAATGAAACCTACCATATCTACCTAGCTTTGAAAAATCAGCTTTGATAGACTGTTTAATAATTTGGATCTTGCTGTGCTGACTAAATATTGTTCCCTAAAATTGACATTAGTGCATACATCCCTTTTGACAAGTTGTTTGACTTTTTTTTTTTTTCTTCACAGTTGAATTATCATCTAAATGGATTAACTGCAGAGCATCAAGGGGCAATATTAACATGTATAAAGAGCAGAAAACCTGAAATAAGAGATGCCCTCCTGCAGAAAGTGTGTGCCATGTCCTCATCGTACCTACAAGATTTTGATTGGCAGCTCAAGGTATGATTTCAAGCTCTGACTCTGTTTCATTATGCAAACTTTATTCAACAATTTTTTTTTTTGGATCAAATGCAATACTTTCACACACATACAGAGCAATTAATCGAGCTCCCTGTGCCATTAAAATTGTGCAGGAAACTGGAGTGGCATGCGCCACATTAACTAAGCAGATAGAGCTGTTACAGGTCTATCTGCGCCACCCGTGCCAGTTTCTGTTTCAGAGTGAAATAAAACTAGCAGAAGTGTGCCCCTAATTAACACAGGGAATATGTCCCTTATCCATAAGGAAAACTGCAGCAGATTCCCACCAGGTGTGACCTTGTACAGGTTGTGAACTGTCAACAGACAGCTCACATCTCTCTCTCTGCCCATGAATCCACTACATGAGCAGAGATTGCACAGATTTCACAACCCTCCACCTCTCTCTGCTCTGAGCCGAGTGGAGAATGGAGACGGCAGAGAAGATCAGAGCATGCAGCTCCAGCTGTCATGTACTTTGTGCTGCATCTGTCAGACACGGCAGAACAGAGCACTGCCCCTAATTAACAAAGGGCTTTTGCCCCTTTTTCTAATTAGGAGCTGCTTCTGGTCCATTTTTTAGAAGATTGCTTGCATCATGCTTTATTAATTACAGTGGCAGTGAACTTTTTTTTTTTTTTTTTTTTTTTTTTTTTTTTTTTTTCAAGGCTTACCTGTAGGTACAGTGAATATCTCCTAAATGTGCACCGTTTAGGAGATATTTAAATGTGTAGCAGCCGGTGATGTCGCCAGCACATGCGCTTTGCCATCCATTGAGTGGGCTGTACCGTATTGCGTCACGGCCATTCAAATGGCTGGAGCCTGAATAGCCGATAGTAAGACCAGGTGAAGATAGAATTCCTGTCAGCTGTGACAGATAATGTGACAGTACAGCCCAGAAACAATAGTGTGCAATTTTTTTTTACCTAAAACACACTGACACTGATACCAATTAAAAAAAAAAAAATAAATAAAAAAAATCTGACCTTTTTGACCCTGACCTTGACCCAAACACTAACCCTGGCACTGAACTAGATCAAACCTTGATCAAGGTATTTTTTCTTTATTTTTTCATTTTCTTTTTTTTATATTTTATTTTATTTTTTTCCTCTCTTGAAGGAGAGAGAGAGAGAGATACAATGTATCTCTCTCCTCCATTCAGAGAGAGAAAAAAAAAAAAAAACCAAGGAGGGTGGGCTGCACAGTGAGTGATCACTGTGATAGCCAATCAGAGGCTATCACAGCGATCATGTGACCCGGAATTGAAATTCACAAAATGTGTGGAGTTGCCAGATGCCGTTTACTACACACTTATATATGTTTATATTGAGATTGTGTATGTACAACTAGACTGTAATTATGTATAATATTATAAATCGGCTGTCATTTTTACTGGATTTTATCATGATGAAATGTGTATTTTTGTATCAAACTTGTAATCATGTGTAATTAACCTAATTATGTGGTCTCATTTAAAGTCCTGGGGCAATTAATTATGTACAGGTGAAACTCAAAAAATTAGAATATCGTGCAAAAGTTCATTTATTTCAGTAATGCAACTTAAAAGGTGAAACTAATATATGAGACTCATTACATGCAAAGCTAGATAGTTCAAGCCGTGATTTGTCATAATTGTGATGATTATGGCTTACAGCTCCTGAAAACCCCAAATCTACAATCTCAGAAAAAGGTAATTGCAAAAGAAGTTGGATGTTCCCAATGTGCTGTATCAAAGCACATTAATAGAAAGTTATGTGGAAGGGAAAAGTGTGGAAGAAAAAGGTGCACAAGCAACAGGGATGACTGCAGCCTGGAGAGGATTGTCAGGAAAAGGCCATTCAAAAGTGTTGGACTTTCACAAGGAGTGGACTGAGGCTGGAGTCAGTGCATCAAGAGCCACCACACAGAGACTGATCCTGGACATGGGCTTCAAATGTCGTATCCCTCTTGTCAAGTCGCTCCTGAACAACAAACAACGTCAGAAGCGTCTTACCTGGGCTAAAGAAAAACAGACCTGGTCTGTTGCTCAGTGGTCCAAAGTCTTATTTTCTGATGAGAGCAACTTTTGCATCTCATTTGGAATCCAAGGACGCAGAGTATGGAGGAAGAATGGAGAGGCACACACTGCAAGATGCTTGAAGTCCAGTGTGAAGTTTCCAGTCTGTGTTGATTTGGGGAGCCATGTCATCTGCTGGTGTTGGCCCACTGTGCTTCATTAAGTCCAGGGTCAACGCAGCCGTCTACCAGGAGATTTTGGAGCACTTCATGCTTCCTTCCACAGACGAGCTTTATGGGGATGCTGACTTCATTTTCCAGCAGGACTTGGCACCTGCCCACTGTCAAGGTCCTACCTTTTCCCTGAGGTTTTGTTACTCCATGTGCTGGCGTCCATCTTGGATTCTGCTGTGCATGGTGGGAATCCTTTTATGCCTTCAGGTCTCTGAGGTCCATCCCCCAGAGGGGTGTGGCTGATGACATATAAGCCTGTGGCCCGCACATGCTCTTTGCACTTGTGTCTTTGTCTTCCTACAGCTCTGTGTATACGCTCGTGACTCTTCTGGTATTCTGACTCAGCTTGTGATTAAGACCATTCTCTGTGTTTTCCTTCGATCTGACCTTCCGTTGCTGAACCCGGCCCGTGACCTGTGATTCTCTGTCTACTGTTCTGTACCGTTTTGTCCCGTTGTTGTCGACCCAGCTTGCCTGACTACGCTATTGTCATTCTCACCAGCTACACGCCATTGGCGGCGGCCATTACCGCAGCCGGGGTGTCTCGGGGGCCGCGACCTGGTACCTGGCTGCGTCAAGTCCATCCCCACCATCAGGGGCCCTGGTGAAGGGCAGCCTGGGACTTAGACTCCGCGCCCTGAGGGACTTCGGTCTGTTGGTGGTGGTTGTCGTCAGCCAGTGCGTTACCCTGCCACTAGGCCTACCTGTCCGTTCCACAGCCTGCCCTGACATTCACACTGCCAAAAGCACCAAAACCTGGTTCAATGACTGTGGGATTACTGTGCTTGATTGGCCAGCAAACTCACCTGACCTGAACCCCATAGAGAATCTATGGGGCATTGCCAAGAGAAAGATGAGACATGAGACCGAACAATGCAGAAGAGCTGAAGGCCGCTATTGAAGCATCCTGGTCTTCCATAACACCTCAGCAGTGCCACAGGCTGATAGCTTCCATGCCACGCCGCATTGAGGCAGCAATTGCTGCAAAAGGGGCCCAAACCAAGTACTGAGTACATATGAATGCTTATACTTTTCAGAGGTCCGATATTGTTCTATGTACAATCCTTGTTTTATTGATTGCATGTAATATTCAAATTTTCTGAGATTGTGGATTTGGGGTTTTCATGAGCTGTAAGCCATAATCATCACAATTATGAATTAATCACGGCTTGAACTATCTTGCTTGGCATGTAATGAGTCTATCTCATATATTTCACCTTTTAAGTTGTATTACTGAAACAAATGAACTTTTGCACGATATTCTAATTTTTTGAGTTTCACATGTATTTGGGATGGAGATGCGTTACATTATTTGGGGGTGTTGTCAGATCATATTAACCACTTGCACTCCTGAGGATTTACCCCCTTAATGACCAGGCCTCTTTTTGCTACTCGGCACTGCACTAATTCAACTGCTAATTGCACGATCATGCAATGCTGCACCCAAATAAAATTTACGTCCTTTTTTTCACACAAATAGAGCTTTCTTTCAGTGGTATTTGATCACCTGTGCGTTTTTGTTTTTTCACGCTATAAACAAAGACCGAAAATTTTGAAAAAAAACAATATTTTTTACTTTAAGCTATAAAAAATATATAGTAAACGCTTTGTGTGAAAGTTAGTGTCTACAAACTATGGCATAGATACAGCAATTTACGCCATTTTTTTGCTATACAGTGCTGCGCTAGTTTAACGGACAATTGCACGGTCATGCAATAGGGTAAATAAATGAAATTTATGTCCTTTTTTTTCCCACACAAATAGAGCTTTCTTTTGGTGATATTTGATCACCTGTGCACTTTTTATTTTTGGCGCTATAAACAAAAACATTTTTGAAGAAACTTTTTTTTTTTTTTAAAAAAAACAAACAATTTTCTCATTTCGGTCATAAATATCCAAAAAAACTAAAATTTCATCATAAATTTAGGCCAAAATGTATTTTGCTACATGTTTTTGGTTAAAAAAAATCCCAGTAAGTGTATATTTATTGCTTTGTGGGACAGTTATAGCATCTACAAACTATGGTAAGGATAATGAAATTTACACAGCTTTTCCTTTCTGACTGCTCATCACATTTCTTGAGGTGCTAAAATACCCGGATAGTACAAACACCCTCAAATGACCCTTTTTTGGAAAGTAGACACCCTAAGCTGTCTGCTGAGAGGCATATTAAGTCCATGTAAGATTTATTTTTTCCCCACAAGTTTCTGGAAAATTTGTTTTTACACAAAGTTGTCATTTTAAATGATTTATTTCTCGCACAAGCCATGGGTATATGTGGAACTGCACCCCAAAATACATTCTGCTACTTCTCTCGAGTATGGGGATACCACATGTGTGGGAATTTTTGGGAGCCTAGCCACATACAGGAGCCTGAAATCCAATGACCACTTTGAAAGCCTGAAGGTGCGTAACTTCTTCATTTCACTTCCTCAATACCTATCACAGTTACGAAGGCCCTGATGTGCCAGGATAGCACCAAACCCCCCCCCCCCCCCAATTACCTCTTTCTGGAAACCCCAAGGAATTTAAAGAGGCATGGAAGTATTTTGCAGATTTCATTTTTTTTTTTTCACACAAAGTTTTGAAATATAAAAAAAAATAGAAAAAATGTTTTTTTTTTTTTTTTTTCATTTTCAAAAACTTGTGGCAACAAATGAGATCTGCAAAATACTTACCATGCTTCTTATCAAATTCCTTGTGATTTCTACGTTCCAAAAAGGGGTCATTTGGGGGGGGGTTAGGTGCTATCC